ACCGCTGGAGACATGACACCCTGAAGATACCATCTCCACCCAAACTCACACATCATCACGGTCTATTCACGGATTCTAACCATTGTTTTTGGGCACTTACAGACAAGCAAGCGTGCATGTGTTTCACATTCATGCAAATATGTGTGTCTCCATTCATGCGTCCATGTATGTGTGTGTTTGCAAAATGGACGGCTATGATGCAACAGCCGTGTAAATCCCAGCTTAACGTAACAAATGCTAAAGACCTCCTCTGTCTTTTTGTTTTCCTTGCACAAAGAGAGCAATAAAGGGAAAAATGAACAAAGGTGCCACACCTCACATATGTGAAACATTAGGTATGAAAAATGATGGTTGACACAAAAAATATTGGATCATCTCGATGAAACGGATGTAAAGCCTTGTCTCACCCTCACCTGTCTGCCTACGCACTTGTCTTGTTCCAGTCCTTTCTCTCCTCCTCGCTCCTGTTCCAGTTGTTGCTGTTGATGTCGGTGATGGTGCTCTCTGAAGATTCATCGAGCTGCTCAGTCTCTTTGTTCCTTGGATGTCTCACTACAGGCAGGAGGATGCTCTCTCCTATCCATTTGATTCTAGCAGGACGAACGGCACCCAGCAGGGACAGGAGGGAAACATGGAGGAGATGTAAGATGGAGAATGCCGTTGCAAGGTGGATGCGTCATGTCTCAGGCTGCTTTGGTCGAGCTCTGCATCCCTCGTTCCTCTTCTCTCTCCCTCCTCTGTGGTACCTCTGTCCTTTACTCTCCCACCCTTGCTCCTTCTCCTATGAGCTGAGGATGAGCGTCGCCCTCTAGTCTTTCTCTCTCCATCACTCCAATTGTTCAGCTTATCTAATGCAGCGGTCTGAGTTTATGTGCTGTGTGTCTCTGCGTATATGTCCCCTTCTGTTTTCTTCCTTTTCTCTTGTCTGGTCTCCAGGTAAAGCCTCTCGTTTCCTTCTTCCTCTTTCCTCTGATGTTATCTCTCCTCTTGTCTCAGCTGCTGATCATCACACCTCTTTCTCCTTCTCCGTCTGTTCCAGTCAGTGCGCCTCACAGTTACACATGCGCAGTGTTTTCACACATACATGCACACTCACACTCTCTCTCCCTCTCTGTCTCTTTGCCTCTGGCTCCCTCCTTATGCATGTAGCTTGTTTTGTCTGCCCAACCCCTCCTCTCTCTCTCTCTCTCTCACTCTCTTTTTTTCTACTTATACACACTCTCTCTCTTTGTCTCTCTCTCGCTGCTCTCTCTCGCTGCAGCACACACTGCAGTGCCTCTGCAGGCAGGATCACGTTTTCTAGTTGCCAGAGAAAATATTTCAGCCAATGAGAAACGTTGAAAATGTTCGCCTCCCCACCCCCCTTCCATCTTCTTAACACACATATGCACACACACGCACACACACACACACACACACACACACACACACACACACACACACACACTAAAACATGCACATTTATATTCAAACATCAGCACACAGCCGTCTGGGATATGAAGGCTTTGCACAGAGCGCCATGAATCACATTTTAAATGAAATATTAATACATACACACACGCACTCTCACACACACACACACACACACACACACTCAAACATATGGTTAAGTACACCTACCGGGCTCACAGGAAGTACAGGAAGCTGGCACTCATAGATCTAATCCAGGCAGTGCAGCAAATCTAAGGAGGCAAAACAAAAGCATAACATCACTCACAAATGATCTCCTTATCAGGGTGGAAGGTTGAGAAACATGTTTCTCAATAATGTCTGCAGAAATTAAATTCCTACTAACACATCCTCAGTAACTACATAACATTAGGTGTCATTTGTATTGATTCCTCCTTCAGACATTAAATTATTTTACAATAATAGACCTGGATGCCTAATTTGACACGACTGAGTTTCTATATATTCACTCATAAACCTGAATCCTGTCAAAGACCTGTTCATGCAGGGATGTTGCATAATGATGAGGATTTTAATAAGGTCTGTATCTGCTTGTACCCTTTGCGCTGAACGATTAATGATAGGATCAAAGAGGAAAAGAGCATGATGTGATTTTGCTATCAATGTAAGGGGGCTTTTTTACATAATAGGGATGTCGAATGCATAATGAAATGAGCAGCAATAGAGCAAAAAGTCACACTCTGTAAATCTGAACAGCTTGTGTTTGTAGGGCTTTTATCATGTCACTGCCTCTGTATGATCTGAGCTTTCTTTTCAATGGAACTTCTCAGAAGTCAGATGCCTAAGAAATATTCAAAGTATGTGCTCAACATAGCATGATGCAATTAGCTCCTCAAGCTCAGGCTATATGGTTATTCCCATACTTGACTTTACTTTACTACTTTAATACTCGCTATACCTTGTAACTTTTTAAGGCAACTGGATATGCATTACATGATTAAAATCATGTTGTGAAAGCCAATGATGACACATATTTGTCAACTACATCTAATATTCATTACCACTGTTTGTTAGGCATTAGTAAAAGTGTTATAGGTTGCTGTATCAAGTGGCCTATGGGGGTTAGGTAAAACACTTTACTTTAAATTACGTTATAATATTAAGCAGTTCTACCAACAATAAATAAATGGATAATGCAGTAATATGCATTTATAAGAGCATATACGTATTAATGCATGCTTATAACACATAGCCTACATCTATAAGGCTGCTGCATAAACAAATAAGTGTGCTAAAATCAGTTATTGAGAAATTAGGTCATATAATTATTAGGCTATTAGGCCTACATGGCTGCTGGCTAATGTAGGCTACATGAACACTCTTGTCTATAGCTGCATCTTGGTCGTAATTGTAGTTTTAAAAGCTCTTACTAAATGCTTGTATTCTGCGAGTTAATGCTGAATACATAAAGTAAAGTAGGCTACCGGTTAAGCTAATGAATTCATCATTTTATTCAGTTGCATGCCTTGAGTTACCTGGTTTAGTTCCGAGTTAGGCACTACAGTATATGGCAGCCAAGGCTAAATGCTAGCTGTTAAACTAGCAGTGGATGTTTAGTGGCTAAATATCTTAAACTGTAAAGCTAACTGTGGCTCATTTTACACCTCATTGTCCTGTTTTCTATTTTGTCTTCATGAAATAAAGCTTCTTTGGGGTTGCTAAGATGTCTCTCTGATAGATGTGCTTAGTAACAAGTGTGCCAAGAAAAGTAACTTCCTGGGCTACTTTGCTATTGACTAATCAACAAATATAACTAGTTGTTTTTCAAATGAGGAATATTGATATAATATCATATACATATAATATATACATATCATATTCATATTCATATAATATCATATTCATTACATGTTCTTTTTTTTCTATGACGTTCTCAGCAACATGTTGAAGGGTTTCAATCCAATGGAGATAACCAATTACGCGTAACCTTAGTAAAATAGAAAAATCTGATTTAATCATATCAATCTTATTATATTGCATAACGTTTTACTTTTATAGCTGTAGGGCCACTGTAGATTAAATGGCCCATATGAGTAATGAGAATAAAGGAGCGAAACTTGTTTTAAGCCTGAAAAACCATTTAAACTGTTGATGAACTTTCTGCAAATGCCAGTGACAGTCAGTGGACCAAAAACATATGAGTGTGTAGGAGTTTTACAGCCGTGAACTTGTTGTGCCATAAACTTAGGTTTATGGTGGTGTAAGTCAAGGTCTATGGAGTTGTTTTCTCCTTCAAGAATTTTCTCACTGGCATTATAAGAGGTAAAGTGCAGTTCAGAGGGATTTCGAAACACCTATCTGTCTCTGCTGAGGGCTATGAAACCTGTCACATTCAAGAGAGGGCCTTAGCCTGCCCTCAGGCATATCTCTATCAACAAGGGCTGATTTCTTTTTCACCTGTTTTGTCAATTAGTTGTCTTTAAATAATGCAGACAACATTTTCTTGGTAGAAAAAGAGTTTGCGGGCCTAAACCATGGCATGAACCAGTAATACCATATAGCTACATTTTATGTAATGTACATCTTATGAAGTGTTTATGTGTGTTTATTTATGGCAGTTACATAACTTTCTAATAAACCCGCTACCTCAATGGGTTATTGTTTATTATGTACATTTATACTGTAGCCTAAACTTGTTTATATACTTCTGCTATCTGATTAATTGCCACACTTGATTCATACTGTGCAATGAAAATAGTTAAAATTCAATTCGAGAAAAGAAGCTCTCTAGACAGTTTAAGTGGCTGTTGTCACTGCATGGGTTTAATGAGCACCAGATAAACACAAACATACAGCTAGACAGTTTTATTATTTTGCTAATGATTGTGCCAAAAAACAGCCATGCTCGCTGACGTCTTCCATCCCCACAGGTGTTACTTGTGGACCATAATGGGGGGTCCAAACAAAAGAGATTGCATTAGCACCCACTATAATCTATAGGATAGGACTTCAGGATATAGAATCAGAATAATTTTGTGATTACAAAGAAATTATGACTACATTTTAGATACATGTATTGCCAAATGCTGTCGATGTTTATCGCATTTTCTACTTTTTCTACTTTATTTTATTAAAGTTCCCCTTTAGCTTTTAATGATAAACTCTGTTTGTTTGAAACATTCAAAGAATTTAAAACATGTTCTTTTTTTTCAATTACTCATCACTCTGGGTAATAGTAAATCAGATGGCGATTGTGTTTAAGGGCTAAAAGTTCTGCCTGTTGAGAGTGTGACCAGCCTTCATATTGACCTTTGCCTGTGGTTTGGTACATTTAGTCACCACACATGCCAGCAGTGTCAGTGCCAGATGAACGATTTGAACCAGTATAAAGTAATGTGCAGCCAATTATAAAGAGATAAAACTACAAAGAACAAAACGTGTTAGTCCAAGGCAGTATCATAAATGAATCAACCCGTGCACAATTCCAAGGCCTGCATTAGAGCTTAGTGTTCATTAACCAGAGTGATAAGAGTTGAGATATTGAATGTGTCATAATGGGAATGGCTTTTGGTAAAATGAGGAATAATCTCACAAGTGTTATCATTTATTTATCATCATTCAGCATTTAATCTTATCAGGAATTCATTTATTCCAGAGAGAGCTGATGTACCAGAAACTGACAATTGTGCAGTGATGTAAACAGAAAACCAGTGTAATACATTTCTGCAGGAATAAAGATTTACCAGTAGAGGACAGTAAAGAGTCAAAAAGTCCTCCGTGCAACCTATCGTCCCTGAGATATTTCATTCATTAACACCTAAAACAACACAAGTAAGGTGCACAGATTTATGAGGTGACAGCTCACATGGACTTTGAGCAAACATTATGTGGGGAAAAAAAGGCTTAGGTAGAATGAGGTAGCAAAAATAGTAATAACAGGGATATTACAATCTTGATTTCTTTTTTTTTTTATGATTAAAGGCAACATCCCTAATTAAATAAGTCAAAGTTAGCCAGTTCGTTTCACTTTCCTGTCATTTACTTCTACGCTAGAAGCTAGTGCCTAATACAACAAATAACTATTTAAGAAGCAGACTGAATCAGAATAACATTCATTATAATCACTATTTGCACATGTTACTGCCAATGCTGCAAGTTTTCAGATCATTTTATGCAGATCACATGCATTCAAACTAGTAACTCTAAAATTAAATAAGACTTGTATGCTTCTGTAAGCATCGTGAATGCACTCTTTTAATTAAAAATTAGCTTGAGTACTCTGCATATCAATTAATCAGCTGATCTCATGTTAATGGTTACTGTTTCTCTCTTTCATTATACCTTAACAGTATAACAGTCAGTCATGTGCAGCATATAAAAGAATAAATGCTTATGTCTAATTAACAGGTTATAAATGTGTTAATGGATTACAGCTCAGTTAACTGGTTTACTGAAAAATTAACAGCAATGAAAGATATTTTACATCCCTACTCTATGAAATAATTACATATTTTAGACAGGCTTGTGCTTTACCAAAGTACATTTGATGTCATGTAAGACATCAGAAGCATTATGGTAATAATGATACAGTACAGTAGGATTTACAAGATCTTCTTTAGGTGGAAGTTTATCAGGTCATACTTTACATTCATATAAAATCATCTCATTTAAATATAGCAGTACAGTATCTGAGAGCGATTAGGGTCAGTTGAGCTCCTTTTAAGCAAAGAAACCATGACAGAAAACGGCCACACACAGGAGGATAATGGCATTGGCATTGACAACGTTCCTCCATAGTGGATGCTCTGTTGTGTCTGTGAGCTTCTTCTGCAGCGCTGCCTGCTCGTCTGCACTCAGCTCAGGGCCTGTCTGCTGCTCGAGCCCACAGAAGCACAACACTGCTTTCTTGCAAAAGCCTGGCTCCTCCTCTGGTTCTGTAAGGTAAGACATAAAGGTTATAAAATACATTTGCTTATTTGTGCATGTTTTTTTATTAACCGCATGCTTTGATGACAGTGTGCTGATTACCTTCTATTTCCATGTTGGATTCTTTGGTATCAACCCAATCATCCTGTTCAATGTCCACCCTCTCCTCTGTTTCGTTCCTGAGGCTCCAGCACAGTCGATATAGCTAGACAAAAAAATATATATATGTTGGTACAAACTTATTATTTATGAATTGTGCTTGGTATTCCAGTGAGTGGTCATGTTTGGGGTATGAATGATTAATTCAGCCTTATTTCACAGCAGTCACATACATGCTTGTCATCGATGGGTTTGGTCATGAGAGAGACTGCCAGGATGATGATACAGGAGATAACAAACAGGATGATGCCGAAGTAGAGGTAATGGACTCCACATATGATGGTGGGACAGTTACTGGGAACAACACAGCTGCCTGTGCCAAAGGCAAACTCTGCAATCATCCTAGAGAGGCCGATAACAAGTCCTATTGCAAGGCCCCAAAAGGCCCCCTGAGGAAAGGAAATAGTAGAAAAAATGTTGATTCAGACTTCTGAAGTGGTAGCAGTCTGTAGTCACAGGTATCAGGAGAAACTGGTGAAATGTTTAAAATGTTTGCCAGTTTAGTGTTGTTGGGGGAACATTCACAAATCCACAAAAACTCGAAGAACAGCTACGGCTGATACGTTTTAATTTGTTTTATAGGCATTTAGTTATAAACAAAGAAGTAGACTTACCTGATGATAGGGATACATGAGAAGTTAGGATAAGAACAATAAGAAGTTTTTCAGATATTTCTCAATGACAAGCCGTCCAACAGTTTTGAAGACATAACACTCAAAAACCACAAAGTTCAACCACCTTTTGACAGCTGAGGAAAAGTTGGGGAATTGTCAAAGTCAGTAGGATTCTTCCTCTGGGACCATGAATGTCTCACTGCAATCTCTAGATAATTAAATTGTGTCTGCATCCACTGTAATTCTTCCAAAACATAGTAGGAACATTTAATTAAATGCTCTGCTCTCTAGGTCGTATTTCATTGAAACTTATTAGTTAATCCCCGCCCCCCCATCACATGATGTATATACAGTAACAAGATGACAGATAGAATTAACAAGAACATAGGAAGCTGGATCAAACAAGGTAGAAATGAGCTTGATAGTGAAAATGTAATTAAGTGTGATTAGCGGGTATATAAATCAGCTGATAACTGACACTAACAAGCTGATGACGTGGCTATGGGCTACAGTGATAACCATGAGAGAATGAATCACATCAACATGGGGTCACATCCGATCACATCACACATGATGATGTCAATTAACTATAGGCACGTCTAAAAACCCTATTATGCTCCACAGGAAGTTAGAAGAATATAAAAAAGCAGTAAAGCGCTACCATGACCTTTGGCCATTAGTCACACAAGATCTTTGTAATGGACATTATTTGTCCAGATCCAAAAATTCACTGTTGGTGTTGGCTTTCATCTGTAAGAGTGCACTCTCTTTTGGTCATGATTTAAATGTATGAACAAATGGTGAATGGATTACCATTGTGCACACATTTCTGCACATACACACACACACACATACGGGCATTTAGAGTCACCATTTAACCTAACCAGCATGTCTTTGGACAGTGGGAGGAAGCCGGAGTACCCTAAGGGATCCCTCGCATGCAGAGAACACTCCACACAGAAAGGCCAACGCTCACCCAGGATTCAAATCAAGTACCTTAGGCGACACCTAAACCCCTGCACCATCGTACAGCCCCTAGTGGCATCAATATGTCAACATTTAAATACCAATAAAACGTTGGTTCCTCTCAGTCTCATCTGTATTTTGAGTTTTAAGCTTATTAGAAATGTAAGCATTCCCCCAGCCCAATCAAAGATAGTGTATATATATTATACCTACGTATCATCAGCATGTTTGTATTATTGTTGTGTGCTGCTGTGTAACTAAGTACATCTTCAGTCTCTTCTTCAAGTGCAGCGTCAAAGAGCTGCTCTTATGTTTTGCCTAGAATTAAAGTGTGAACATTAAGAGGTGATCAAAATGGCAACTCACAGACTCATTGACACGTTTGCAGAAGATTGCCAAAATGAACAAAGCTGCGATGGGTGGTGTAAGGTAGCTGGTGATGGACTGGATGTAGTCAAAGAGCTGACCACTCTGGGCTGACTGCACCACGGGGATCCAGGCTATGCTCACACCAATCAGAACCAAGATAAACACTCTAAACACATGCAAACACACACACACAAGTGTAGATGGTTACCATCAAGCACATGTGCATTTACTTAACAGGAATAACTTCAAACTGAATAGAAACGTCGTTTTACCTGCCAGCAATCATGAGTTCCCGCTCATTGGCTGAGCGGCGAACCTTAGTGTAGATGTCCATTGTGAAGAGAGTGCTGGCACTGTTAAAGATGGAGGTCAGTGAGCTCATCAAAGATGCCATCATCACTGACAGCATAAGACCTCTCAGACCTAAAACAGATAGATTAACAGATGGACATGGGGTAGAAAAGATGAAGATTAAGGCTATTAATTGATGTATACTGTTTCATAATAAAAGTCTGCAGACACCAACCATTGGGCATGAGCTCCAACACCAGTTTGGCATAAGCAACATTAGTGCAGCCCACACTGGCCCCACACAGTTTTTGACATTCAGCTGGGTCCACACATGCCACCACATCTAAAATAAAATGAAAAAGATTAGCAGGTGTAAATCCCATAGTTCATATTTTGTAAGATGTTCATGAGCAACAATGGTACTTGAGCTTATGCCTAGAACAGTAAATGGACTTGAGCTTGTATAACACTTTTCTAGTCTTCTGACTATTCAAAGCACTTTTACACAGCAGGTCACACCTACCCATTCACAACCTGATAGCAAAGACTGTTATATAAAGTGACCATCATAAGTAACTATCCAATTCATACACATTCATTTGCATCCATATGCTGCCGACGAAGCAGTGATAGCAATTCAGGGTGAAGTGTCTTGCCCAAAGACACATCGGACATGTTGCTGCAGGAGCTGGGGATCAAACCCTCGACCTTAAGGCCGACTCTAACTGAGCCAAAGCTGCCCAAATCTAAACATTAGAAGGGGACTCAAAGATACCAATGCTAATAGACATGTCTTCTATGATCTAAATGTGAAACCCCTTTATATGTTTGGATGCATTTTAAACCTTTAATTATAATGTGTTTGTGCCAAGCTAAAATGTCATCATCAAAACAGTGCAATTATTATTTACAGATAAGCATTTCACACTTTACATACATTTAAAAAAAAAAGTAATTTTTATCATGAACACTACGAAAAATCAAATACTTCAACTAAATCAAGATAGAGAATATTGAAATTATATCAACTTATTTTTTCTTACTTAAAACAATACATCAAAGAAGACATTTGATCTATCTGTGAGTCCATTCTGCCATGGTTTCTTAATATGAGTAAGAGTAAATAATTACCTTTCCTTAAGTTTGTTAAGGATCCAGTCCAAAATAGCTTGCTTGTGTTATTATATATTACCTCTCTGGCGGAGGTAATATGACAAATACCAGGACAAACTCACCAGTATAGAGAATCCTGCTGATCATCCCAGGGAAAACCATGAGGAACATTGGCAACAGCTTCAGGTAGCCGCATAGGATACAGCCTGCCTTAACGTGAGATAGATTCTTACCTGAGAGGCAGCGCTGAACAATCACCTAAAAAACGGAAAAAAAAAATGATGGAAAAGGTCAGTAGTGTCAAGATAGGTGGAAAAAAAAGTATTGATTCTAAATGTTTTTACTCAAATATCTTTTAAACTCAAATATCCCTTTATATCGGGTTCAACAACACATATTTGGAGTGATAGTGATAGAGTAGGTTGACCATTGACATATGTTTAAAGTATGTCATCATTTAAACTGCAACTTCATTTTTCACCAAGGTCACAAAATTGTCCCCATGTTAATCTTATCTGAGTCTCTTGAGTGCAGTATAGCCCAACTAAAAGCATGGACATCCTCTTACAGCACCAAGTCAGAACGCTTGAGTGACTCCGTCAAAAACAGGCAAGATAAATGTGCTTGCAAATGGGTTGTAATCAATTGATTGAGACTGTGTATGTTTGTGTATTATGTGTGTGCATGTGTGAGTTTTTGTGTGTATTTATGACCATGTTGACTTTCCTATTACCTGCCACTTAGTCAGGACGAGTGTCCTCACATTTACAGTGGCCATTCCTAATAGTACTGTCCAAATGCTTGACTGACCTGATCAGTGCACCAGTACCAAGTGGCCTGAATGGTGAGTCCAAACACAAGGCCTGGCCATGGCAGGTCTCCTGTGATTGCATTCCTGAAAATATGGAAGGAGTCTGGCCGGGGCGTATAGCAGTTTTCACTGGCGTTTCCTGTGATAGCGGGGATGGCCTCCATGTAGAGCTTCTGGAAGTTTTCATAGCCTTGCACCTCATTGAAAGCTGAAGACATGTGTGCAAGTTAGACTGACCGGTGGTTTATCAATGTCACGCAAGATATGCATACAAGTGCTTTTGTAATAAATATCAGCACAGCTACAGTAGGATTTGGTCATATCATTTTTACAGGATTGCTATAAGTGCTTTCTCTGTGCTGTACATTTATTTATATATTACCAGTTTTTGTGCAAAAAGTGAAATGAAAAGTCTTTGACAGTTGCTTGGTTGATCAATCCAGTCAAAGCTGTTTCTGTAAAATAAATGAACTGCTTAGAACTCTTGAAGCAGAGAAATAACTTTGCTCTAATGTCCCAGTTTTGCCATATTGTATATTTATCCCAACAGATCTCCTCTCATCCAAACCAATTATTTCTTGCATTAACTTTGGTGGCAACTATGTGATGTACAAAGCAATCGTTATGCTTTTCAACAACTATGTAATAATAGGATCTTCCGGTGTAAAAAAAAAAAACACTTAAAAAATAGCAACTGAATATAAGGATACCATATTACCAAAGCCCATGAGGATGAACGATCCTACAACCATGATGATGGTCTGTAAGGTATCTGTGTAGATCACTGCTGCCAATCCACCTGAGACACAACATCAGAGTTTATTATTTTGTATATTTGAATTTAAATCAAACCATTTTATCAGCACTAATGAGGTCATCAGCATCTACTTTGTAGTTTTGTAATGCAAGTGGTTTCCCCCTGCTCATTCTAGCAAACAAAGCTGACGTTTGAGTGTGTGTCCATTATAACAAAACAGCAACAGAAGGCAATTTCCTGCTTATCACAGTTTACGGCTAATTAACCACAACAATTCTCCAAAGATAAACTAGTCATGTCTACATATGGTCTTAGGAAGACTTTACCCCCAGTCATGATGCCATTCATACCGTAAAAAGATAAGACTTTTAGTTTATGAGGGATCTGTGATTCCAGTTAAAAAGGAAGTAAATGCACCCTCAGTGGACAAACCTGTGACAGTGTACAGCGCAGTTATCATTAGTAGCAAGATAACAGCTAGGTAGATATTCAACCCAAGAGCCAGGTTGATAAAAATGGCACCAGAGAACATGTCTGCCTGTGAGGACAGAAGAAAGAAAGAAAAAGACACATCAATGACACACAATTTTGGCACAGTGTTGAAATGGAGGCTATCCCTGAATGTTTGAATGTGTGACTTACTGAGATCTTGGTGAAAACATACAGGAAGAGGGAGAGCACAGACAGGTAGATGCGAATACGCTGGCCTCCGAACCTCTTCATCAAGTACTCCGGCATGGTGACTACCTAAACATGCCCACAAAAATAACATGGTTGATTTGTGTTTGTTTTACCTACCTTTTTCCTCTAAATTTGGCTGTTTTTAAGATGTCCCAATCATTTAAAGGTTATTGTGTCACTTCAGCTATGAATGCAAACTTTAACAGAGGAAACTAATATTTACATGTATAGAGCCCGACCGATTGATCGGCCAGCCGATAATATCGGCTAATATTAGCATATCCACTGACTATCGTTATCAGCTAATTTTATCACAAATATGCATCGATTGTATGAAAGTTATTCATCTGTCAATTAGCATTTTATGGCAAAGCATTTAGGAAATTAATTCACTGAATAAAACTTTGAATATATGGAATGAAGTCTGAATAAATTGAATGGAACTTTGAATATGTTGAATGAAGTCTGAATATATTGAATGAAACTTTGAATATATGGAATGAAACTTTGAATATATGGAATGGAACTTTGAATATATGGAATGGAACTTTGAATATATGGAATGAAGTCTGAATATATAGAATGGAATTTTGAATATATGGAATGGAACTTTGAATATATGGAATGAGGTCTGAACATATAGAATGGAATTTTGAATATATGGAATGGAACTTTGAATATATTGAATGGAACTTTGAATATATGGAATGAAGTCTGAATATATAGAATGGAATTTTGAATATATGGAATGGAACTTTGAATATATGGAATGGAACTTTGAATATATGGAATGGAACTTTGAATATATGGAATGAAGTCTGAATATATAGAATGGAATTTTGAATATATGGAATGGAACTTTGAATATATGGAATGAAGTCTGAATATATAGAATGGAATTTTGAATATATGGAATGGAACTTTGAATATATGGAATGGAACTTTGAAAATATGGAATGAAGTCTGAACATATAGAATGAAACTTTGAATATATTGAATGGAACTTTGAATATATGGAATGAAGTTTGAATATATAGAATGGAATTTTTAATATATGGAATGGAACTTTGAATATATGGAATGGAACTTTGAATATATTGAATGGAACTTTGAATATATGGAATGAAGTCTGAATATATAGAATGGAATTTTGAATATATGGAATGGAACTTTGAATATATGGAATGGAACTTTGAATATATGGAATGGAACTTTGAATATATGGAATGGAACTTTGAATATATAGAATGGAATTTTGAATATATGGAATGGAACTTTGAATATATGGAATGGAACTTTGAATATATGGAATGAAGTCTGAATATATAGAATGGAATTTTGAATATATGGAATGGAATTTTGAATATATGGAATGGAACTTTGAATATATTGAATGGAACTTTGAATATATGGAATGAAGTTTGAATATATAGAATGGAATTTTTAATATATGGAATGGAACTTTGAATATATGGAATAGAACTTTGAATATATGGAATGGAAGTCTGTAGTTTTATTTCAGCTGACATCTCAGTAAGAGACTAAAAAAATTCCCTAAAGATGGATGCACAAAGTGTGCTCAGTCATGATTTGTTGAACATTACTACTGATTAGTAGTAAAAGTGTTCCAATAATTGAACTATGATCTTCGAGGTGACACATTCTACATTCCAAATTATTCATATGATTTTGAGTACGAACAGCTGTTTCAAAAAAGTTTGACGTTCAACAAAGTATTGGTATATTTCAGCTGATGTCATTTAGCAAAACCAGCATATTCAGCAGGTAATCTTTTTGATGACAATGAAACTGATGCATTTGGAAAAGTAAAATCAGCCTCTATTCCATATATTCAAAGTTTCAGTCAATATATTCAGACTTTATTCAACATATTCAAAGTTTCATTCAATATATTCAAAGTTTCAGTCAATATATTCAGACTTCATTCAATATATTCAAAGTTTCATTCAATATATTCAAAGTTCCATTCGATATATTCAGACTTCATTCAATATATTCAAGTTTCATTCAATATATTAATTTCCTAAACCGCTTGCCATAGCATTTCATTTCAGTATCACTGTATTACACTAGCAGTTTTCTTCTGGCTGCCAAGGGCCGAGTGTGCTATATGGATTACAGCTATAGCATTCAATCTCCACAGTGTAAAGCGGCGATGCATGTACATGTGCAGTCACTTTTAAGTTAAGTGACCATCTTGTCTTAATGATCCATCTTTCCCACAAGTGTTTGATAACTGCATTTGAGGGATCAACAAAATAAATGTGTATATCTATATCTATCTTTCTCTTCAGATCAGACATACGAAAGATATCTTTTGTCTCCCAAATATCAATATCCACCCCAAAAATCACATATTGGTCGGGCCATAATAGAGAGTAAGGTGTTTTGTATGTAAAAATTTGGTCCTGTGTTTTCACTTTACCCCAGCTTTGATATAGATTGGCACAAAGAGCCATCCCAGGATGACGACCACTATAAGAGCCTGAAACACACAAAATTACAAAGACAAAACCAGTTATTATTCAGCGCACCATACTGAAAATACAATAGAGTTCAAATTGACTCCTGATGTTGTTCTGTTCTGCTTCCACCCATAACCTACACATTTATCAGTTCACTTTACAGAGATAAGTGACAATATCAGTGACACAGGATAAAAAGAAAACATTTGTGTAAGAAGTGATAATGGTGAAATTGGCACATCAACACAGATAACTCACATTCCATTCAAATCCTCCTGTAGCAATTCCTCCAGCTGCAGCAGTCCCAGCTATCCCTACAAAGTGGCCACTGCCAATGTTGCTTGCAAAGAGTGATGCTCCAATCTGTGGAATTCATATAAGTATTCATAAATAATATACATACATAATTTTGTATATGTTTTTTTTCCAACAGAGCTCGGAGAGATGTTCAATTGCATTAAAGTTTTCAGTTGACTTTGATTTATAGTATGTCCTATAATCAGTAATAATAGTCCAATGAGCACAACAAAATAAGATTGTTAGTCAGCATTTGTAGCTGCAACCATTAAGTTCCTATAGCTTTAATACTGTAATTAAAAGACTACATCATATCAAACATTTCTGGGACTCAATATTATGGAGCTGAATACTCACAGGCCACCATACCATACTCCTCCCTGCCAGGAAGAAGCCACCAACTGTGGCTCGGTTGGTGCGTACCATGGCCTACAACAACAGTGAAACGTGTTTTAGAAAAAACAAATCCAGCTTTAAACAAAATATCAAAATATTGTTTTTCAGTGGAAACAACATTTACTTGCACATGTCATTTGAGTAATAAAAAGGGATAAAGTCACTGGATACACCTTAAAAAGGATGTTCCGGTTATATTACTCAATGTAAATTCACTTCAATGTTCATTTTGAGATAAGAAGTACTTTGATCTGCTACAGCATTAACAATTCATGAACCAGATTGTTTGGTAACCAGCTTTTGATGGCACCATATCAGTATGTCTCCTTTAAACTGTGCAGCTGTTAGGTGATAAAAGTTGCTGACACTGATATGAGAAGCCGCTTACATTTTTACTCTTACATTTAAACATAATTTTCAAAACTTCAAGAAATAAATCAGGAATCTTTTGTCTGTCTTGGCTTAATTCAAACAGTATGTTTTTTTTAGTTTAGAGGTGAAACAAACTGCAGCTGTCCCAGCTATAAAACTAGTGAGAAGTTAACTATTAACAGTGAAAAAGGATTTAAAAACGATCAACAGAAAACTGAGCAACTCACCCATATTCCGACACCCAGGACAACCAAAAAGTAAATCACAATAACAGAGATATCAGCCGGGTTGTTTACAGCCACAGTGGAAGAGTTGGTTCTTGCATTGCTCCTTATGGAGGAGAATCCAAAATAATCCCAAGACATTTTGCTGAGAGGGTGACCAGAGAACACAAATGCTGCTGGTGTTGTTCCTCTGTGAATGAAGCACCTGCAATTACACTTAGGAACCTTCAATCCTGCAAAGGGTGTGTGTGTGTGTTAATGTGTGTGCTGAAGAGAGAGAGAGTGTGGGAAGGATAAGGGGGCTGGGAAAGGGATTGAAGTCAGAGAAATGTTTTTTTTCTTTAATAAAAACAAGATATTCTTCAATTAAAAGTATATCTTGATTAGAAATTAACCATTGCTGAAATAAGATGGTGGATGTGAAAATTATTTTCAGAATTGAAATGAATGTGTAACCCTTCAGCAAATAATCTTGTTAATGATCAACCCACAAGGAAATACCACATGGAAAGAAATAGGTTTAAAACCATAACCTTTTAATAAACTCCCCCAGGCTGCAGCTGAATGCGTATCACCTTATGAACAAATTAGATTTTTATTTTTTAGTGTGGTAAAATTAACATTTCTGTAGGTTGACCCATAAAAGCTCTGTAACATAGTCATCATCCGCCCCCTGTATGCCCCCTCAATGACTTGACAACTCTGTCAATCAGTATAATTAATAAGTACAGTCACTGACTACATATTTTCCCGATATTTTGATGGACTGAAATAATTTTTGTTTACAGAAAAGCGATTGAATCCAGGGAAGGGGCCCTTTTGTTAGCTCAATTCAAGATTCTGTTTATTTGCCATTTTTATCAAGTATCTGCATATAAAAAAATGGTGTTCTCCCAGCCCCAAGCAGTGTGACAGAAAGAAAACATGTACACATAGCCACATAAGTATATCTAAAAATCTACTAAGCAATCAAATCAGTTCTAAAAGTAGGCTACAGTAAAACAGCTGAAATAATACAAGGTAAAAAAAAAAAGAGAAAAGAAATGTATCTCATAAGTCTGTGTTTACTGGCAAGCCTTTCTTTTGAAATATTTCCTCTTTCCCTGAAACACTACCACAAATAAAAGGCACTTAACCCCACCCACAGGGAACATTACACTGTTCCTTTGAGTCCTACAAGACTTAAGTGTGTATTTTTACATTAATTATTAAATAAAAAATTGTTTGTCAATGTTTTAAAGTTGGCACAAATTTAAACATAGATGATCAATTCCCCTCAATTCCCACAGAAAAAAAAGGAAACAAAGCCCCTTAGATTTTAAAGACATATAGGCTACATACAATTCTTTGGGCGACCACTAGGTGTCAAACTAGGATAGTCAAACTAATGAATGAACTAGGTGCCTGAGGGGGTCACATAAATAAGGCACACATACATTTGATAAGTAAGAGTCTACTTTTTTTAAATGAAAGACTATAACACATAACATTCAACTTTTTGTGAGGCCAAACCTGCTCCACCATTATAGTAATATTGATTAGAAGTTTGATGCATGCATTTTAATTTTACTGTTTCACTTTTTAAAAAATCAAACCATGCGCTTTGTTGATCTGACCACGCTGTTTTGTCACTAATCATTTTTTTTGTTTCTTTAATTTACTCCTTATGGTGGAATAAAAAGTTACACTTACTTAAGTACTGTACACAAGTACCACTTCATTGTACAGGTTATTTGTATTTTTATTTAATGATTTGATTCCTCTATATATTCAGAGGGAAATACTTAACTATTACTCATTTGCACTTAACATTATGTCATGAGCTTTGCAGATACAGATTAAAATATAAGCAACAACACACAAAAGCTATATTAGTATTGATTGAGAAAAGGGTATGGTGACCCTTGGTATTTAACAAGGTCCCAAAGGACTTGGTTGATTTATTGACCATTTCAACGGTCATTGTATTCATTTAATTTAATTGCATTTGTAATTGGCTATGCTAATTTGAAAACTTTTACATTTGATACCATAAGTATATTTGAATGCCATAAGTCTGTATTTTACTTAAACAACAACAACAAAAAGAATCCGACAGCTTAATTTGAAGTAGGTTATTTCTACATTGTGGTATTGCAACTGTTCATAAAAAATATCAAAGCCTATACATACCAGACCTAAAATGACAGGTGACTTCACTTATGTAGCCTGATTCGACCTCTTTTATCTGTACAGAATGCAGGATTGCCAGCCCCCTAGCCCTTTTATTACATGTTATTACCATGTATAGTTTGGTGAACTCATGTAATTTCCAGCATACATCCACCCAGCCTTCACCTTTTTATTCAGTCTAATTGAAAACACTCGTGTGTGCACAGGGCATTTTATAACCGTTGTATAACAGCTGGGTTGTTCTACCATAGCTGTAAAATATAATGTATGTGTTTTTGCCATAATGACTGGTCTTGTCAAGGCCGCTAGCATTCAGAAATCACATGTAAAATGTGAATACTCTTGCTACAAACAGTAATCAAAAAGAATAGAACAGGAACGTTTACTGTTCACTTGATAAACAATGTAAAAACGTGAACGTAAAAACATATTTATATTTTCATTTCATTGTACAGTGTTCCCCTTTGTTATTTTTGTGTATTATATATTTGCTTTAATACAGTGTATAACTTCTGTACAGTTTATTTTAATTTACTGTTACTACAACTTATTTTATGTTTTTGTACTTTTCTACTCTTTTTTTTTCTTATAATGCTATTCTATTTTATACATAATTTTTTTACTTTTTTGTAGAAGCTGACTCAGGGAGAAACGCACAAAAATTCCAATGTACCTGTACTGTCCTGTACCTGTGCAAATGACAATAAACATATATTCTATTCAGAGGGATGCATTATGAATAGTCACAGTGAGGGGGGGGGGGCGTCGTCCAACAGATTATTTTATTCTACGGATTTAAATTAGTTTTTTTTTCATTTCATTGTGTTTATCATTATTGTTTACTTTACGTTAGGGGCATATTACATTGTATTTAAAAAGTATTTGTATAATTTATGTGACAGATCTTATCCTAAAAAGTCGGACCACCCACCTCTCCATGTTGATGGTATCATCCAAAAGTGGCGGGATGGATGATTACGGTTGACACTTCTACATCCACGGTAATCACTCTTAAAGGAAGTGCCGCCCTCCAGACACCAACAGTGTGATGAAGTGATTTGTAGAGCGTCCATCATTTTTTTTCCCGAAGTGTGAATATGAAACTCAAACGCTATTACGACGAGATACCAGCTGAAGTTGTTAGCCACCCCTCATTCAGGTAGTTGAGCCCTCTTTCTCCCTAGCTGAGCTGCGACTCCATGTGATAGCACATTTCCCGATAGTCTATGACATGGGTCTATAAAGAGACCTTGAAGGTGCGTTATCTTATCTGGAGCCAGTGATTCAGTGAGCTCTGTTTGCACTTCCACAACTGTAAAATACATGGCTACTTGGTAAAGCTCGTTTGTACTTAAAACAGTTGTTTCGTTGCTTCATAATTGGAAAAAGTAAAGTAGTCAACCATTAAATGTTACTCACATTACAACTTAGTGTAGCTGCCTAATTTTGCTCTGATTGATTACATGGCATGTCCATCTACCTGTTTAACCCAATACCTTTATAACCACTAGACTGTATCAAAGGTTAAAGTTGGAAAAACACTGAAGAGGGTAATTACTTTCATTAGAAAACTACACAACGCCTCAGCTTTCGCCCTTATTCAGAAGGAAAACATTGAGCATACAAGATGTAGGGTATTTTTGTAAGATAGGGTTTACTTTTCCAAGATTGAAATTTGATGAGGTGGAAGAAGTGGTGACTTAACTGAAGTGAAAGTACTGTCTCTAACCATGCAGATATGCTGTAACAAGAAAAAGTCTTTTGAAAACAAAAGTTCCCGTCATGCCTAATAGCAGATATCAGAGTAATATAAGAAATAATGTCATTAACCTTAATGGTGCAATATATATGTTAAACACAAAAATGTTGAAATGTAAAGTTGGAGTCTACTTTAATAACTTTATACTGCAGGTTAACCTCTGAATGTTCCCTCAGGGAGGGTGTTTACTGAGGTACAGAACCTGATTAAGTTAAATCTTAAAATAATCCTGTGGCAGAATATTGCATCATTCTTTGTATTTGATCTTCTTAAAGGACCCCCACACACCTTGCTCTGGATGTGCCTCTCCATCTCACATTATGGCCTACATAACTCAGCTAAGAATGGTGAGTATATTATCTCTGCCATCAGTATGTGAATGTGGTGTGAATGAGTGAATGTCTCAGAGTGACCTGCAGTGTGAAAAAGCACTTTGAGTATTGTTGAAGGCAAGAAAATGCCTGTACAAGCTCAAGTCCATTTACTACTGTAATCTCAGACTGAAGAAATATCCACTGTAACAAAAAGCTTGGTGATAGACATAACATTGGCCTTAAAGTTAGTTCAATTTTAGAATGTGATAGACCCAAATGTTGACCCATTGTAATCAGGAGAGACATTTCATAAGAAGTCCTGCAATTAAATTGCCTCAAGAAACCCTTCTCCCTTCCAAAAGAAACACTACCTTATTCTCGCTCGGTAAGCAAGGATTGGTTTATTGAAGGCTGGTATATTGAATTGCTCAGGGTATATCCCGATGAATACATTCAAGTTGATTTTCCTTACTCGAGGCGTATCTAGCTGTAGCCCTGCTGTTCCAATCACAATTTCCGCCGTCTTTCACCATGTACGTCCCAGAGTTTCCTGACTGCTTTGTCCCACTAAATTGCTGCTTGCAGCTACAGTATATCTGTAAATATAATGCTAACATCCATGTCCAAGGTTATTGTAATCTGTCAAACATGATGCTACAGGGAGAACTGAAAAAAAAGAGGAGGAAGATAAATTAAACATTGCCTTTTTTTGTTAGTGCAATAATATAAAGACTAAAAATAGAGTGAAAATGATTTATGGACAGAGGTATGATGTAAAGCGAAAATTATCGACAGTGCTGTTGTAGAATAAAGTAGTCTGCATTATTCAAACACAAGAGGGAATGAGAGATTCAGTTATTGAAGGTTAACAGGGTGCCGATGCATAATCATATTATTTATGTTGTATTATTGTTCTCTAAATGGCTGGATACAGAAAAAGAAGCCAGACCATTACCACTTACCTTATTTTTTTTAAACCAAAATATAAAAGCAGGAATGGTGTGTAGAGGAAGAGATGTAAGTGGGAGTTATCAGACTGGTACTTTCACAAATGGCTGCTTGAAATCTCTAAACGGGGACAATCAATATTCACTTGAATGAGAATCAATCACTGGAATGAGGCCAATGCTCTGTTGGGATTAGACTCGGTCACACTCGCTGATTTCAGTCCAGATTTAAAACCGAAAAGGAATCTTTGGCCTTCTACTGGCCCCCAGGTATTTTACAATCACTAAACATCTGAGTATAATCCTTTAGAAGTACTAGTTTTGTTAAAAACAACAACACACACATACACAAACACACATACCAGGTCAGAAAGAGAAACCAAATACAGCTGATTAGAGCAAGAACTCAATCTTTAGCAGAAGTCCTTTCCCCATAGAAGTCCAAATAGTGTGGGAAAATGTTGTTCATGTCTTTGGCAAACAGAGTATTGAGTGTGCTGGGATCATAACAGACAGAACTGTGTCTAATGAAATTCTGACCGGTTTCTACATACCAGTCTGATTCAGGAACCTCTGGCAGAGGGGCTGAAGAACAGAAAGAGGGCCTGGGCCCTAATTTATCAACAGTGCGTGTGCTGTGCACAGATCTGTGGGTAATGAGTGCGTAAGGACATTCACGTGCAACGAGTGGTATTGATCAACTTATACTTTTACTTATGAATGTGAGAATAGCTCCAGTTGCAAATACTTCTCTCTTTTGTGTGTGTTTTTTTGTGTGTTTTTTTTACACTGCGCTTAATATCAAACCTCTTTTCTTGTTTTCTTTAACAACTCCTCCGACCCAATAGAATATATAGCATTTGTCACCTTCTCCCATACAGCATATGTTCTTTAGTTAGTAACTTCCCCACTAAGTGAACTAATAAATCATTTATTTGGTTCACTAAGTGTGAGAGTTGCTAACCTTTTTTTCCAATGTCATCCTACTTCAATTTGGGTTGCTATGAAGCTCCTTTTCTTCGCTCTCTTTTCCATTATTCCAGGGAGGTAAATATATTCCACAAGGTTTTTAACGGCGGGTGTTGTTACTACATATGTTTTATTGGAGGCGTTACTGAACACGAAAGTCCCCCAACATGCACAAGCCTGCTGGATAAGGACATGTTGGATTTATTAACACTAATTACTTATTGATGTGTACACCGTCCGCATGTTTTTTGTACTTATACACATTCTAAATTTCATTCGTAAGACAGAATTGAGAACATTTTCTAAGCGCTGTTGATAAGTGAGGGACCCTCGTTTCAAAAAAACAAATCTCTTACACACAAAAAAACTCCAGTCACTAATCAGGGAAGAAGAGTATAACTGTTCACTTGTCAGCCATAATGATTCATGTTTTTTTTTATACTTGTAATAAACCCATGTCTCTGGGCAAAGTTCCATACCGGATAACAGAAGGGCATTGTAACCACAAGTCATGACAAGGAGCAAGGGGGTTTTCACCCAGCAAGCTGTTGGGGGCATATTGGGTGACACGGGTGAGCGGAGGGCATCAGGGTGATCAACAAGAGCTTGCACAAGGGCCCCTCGTCAGTCATTAGAGGTGAGGCTCCACTTTACGTCAAACCCACAGTTCCCCCTCTGTCTGAGCACGCTGGGGTGCACAGAACTGTGGGAACCGGGACGAGGTGTCTACTGCCCTTCTTCAGCCCGCAGTGGCATGTACTGAGCTTCACACGAGCTACTCATCAATCAACAGCCACTTACCCTCCACTGTGAGGGCAACAGAAGAGAGAGGAAACAACTCATTACAGCAGGGCCTCTGAGGGCTCTTCACGGCACCCATTTGGACTAGCTCAGCGCTCTGTTACCTAGTTGAGTCAATAATTGCAGAGCTGAAAATTCCAACAGTTAACTAAATTGTGATCAAGAACACAAGTTTATTTGGCACTGTGCCTATAACAGAGCAAGGTAAGAAGGTACCTCACTAAATGTTAAAAGCAATAAACTTAAACAGTAGTCTTTGAATTACAGAGCGGTACAGAGCAACAATAAATAGTCATAGGCCTGTTGAAATGAATTTATCTTAAGCTGCAAGTTTCACTCTAAAATGCAGACTGTATTTGTGTAGGAAGATTTTTCCACATTGCTTGAGTCACAACTTTTAACAGTATGTGCTTGTTTGTTCACGTTATTGGTTCTACCTCTGCTTTTCTACTGGGAGTCGACTGATACTGGAAACAAATTGCTGCCATATTAGAAAGGCTATCAAAATATGAGTAGCAATGTCTTTTCCAAAACATGAGGTGTACATTAGTTTGATTTTTTTTAGTTTAAAGAAGGAATGAAACCAACATCAGTCAAATCCAAAATATGAAGAAACCTCTCGTGCAGTGAATTACTTTAAAACAATGAGAGCCTTGTTTCTTTGGTTGACAAATAGCTCCTCAGCAGTTTAACGGTTTCATTTGCACAACAAGAGACTAATCAGAAACATGCGTAAGAATAACACAGAACATGACATGTTATTTCAATTAAATTCAACTTACTCTCCCTCATCTCAACATATTCCCATCTGGGATCACTACCTTGCACATAGTGGGACAAAGTGGATCAACACTGCGTGATACTCATATTGTAATTTTGTGATTAACTAAGAGATTCAATATAAAATCTTTAAGGTTAGTGACAACTGTAGTGTACTAGTGTTAGTGTGTTACCACAAGGGGGCAGAGTGGTACAACACTGCAAAAATGTTGCATCACTGTGTAGGGAAGAAGAAACTCAAAGAGCTTTGTCTTTAAAATGATCAGATTTCCAAAAGTATTCATGATATAAGACTATATTTCAAAATATTTCCTGATCCCACAAACTGTTCCGCTTTATGTAAGTTTGACTTGTTGCCTAGAGGTTATGTTTCAGTTGATATACAGTTGGGTGGCATCTCAACTCAAGTGTATATCACAATATCTTTGAATGTGCTCATGAGTGTGATATATTCAGTGTGTTTGCTAACCATGGTAACAAAACAACGAAAGCAATCCTCTAAAAACATGTTTTTGATCTGCTTTTAAAAGAATGACATCATGTGTATTTACGATTATCATTTTCATTCCAAACAGCACATTGAGAGGGACCCTGTTGTACTTCTTACAGAGAGGTTGTTTTTAGCCTTAATATGATTTGGCTAAAAAGGTTCCTACTGTCCAGCTGTTTGTCTGCTCATTAGTTCCCAAAGTGTCCAATTAGTCAACTTTTACTTAGAAACACTTTGTTTTGCATATAGGTTGTGTTGCTCAGAAAGAAATCAGTTTTTAATGAAATGAAAAGTGGAAAACCACAGCAATATATTTCTAGTGTTACAGCAACAATTTGTATGTCTTTATTGAAGGGGTTGTGAAACATGGCGTCCTTAGTAGATTATGTAAAAATTGAGACTCTTGATCTACACCAGTCTCACAGATGACTGGTGTAGATCCAGAAGTATGTACTAATTCATAAATAGACTTTGAATCCATGGATCCATGAATCCAGAATCGTTTTGAATCGAAAATCGATTCTGAATTGAATTGTGACACCAAGAATCGAAATTGAATCGAATCGTGAGACACCCAAAGATTCCCAGCCCTAGTCATAGTGAATGCTTAGTCGAAGGAAATCTTCTTGTTTCCTATCACTACCTGCTGTCTTGTAAGAACCTTACACCGTGTCCTAACAGCACGCGATGTGAGCGAGCGTCAGTGTTAAAATCAGCCTAATTCTATTGTTTCCTATTGGAGTGTCCTAACTTCAAGTGACGCAGCGCGCCGTTTTTACCCTGACGCTACGTTTCTATTTTCCTCTCTGTCGCTCGTGTCAACGGACATGGAATGGGGGGGAGGGGAGATAACGGTGCATTGATAACATCCACATCCGTGATTGAAATGTTGAGCTTTGACTACAGTGTCAACACCGGAAAATAAACTTTTTTTTGGCTCTTCCGCGAGCTGTTTACTGACGAGCCTCTGAGTTGTGATTTGAGTCAGCTGCTCATTAATACAAAGCAACACACATCCGTTTGTCCACCTTCAGTACAAAAGCACT